TGATACACTGTAACATGTTGTTCGAGTGGTTCCCCTTCAATATCACGAATACGATCCGTCTCATCTAATGGACCCTCATACGCAGATGATACCGGATAATCCATATGAGCATCGCCGAATTTCATATTTCCCATGATTTTTGGACCTTGTATTGCTGCTGTTAATATGTCGGCTTCGTTTATTCCTTTTTTGTTCGTGTTTTTTCTTTTTGATTCCTTCTTTTGTTGTATCTTGTTTATTGTGTAGTGCGATGTTCTTGTTAATGAACCGTGAGAAACATTATTTTCGAAATATTGTTGGAGAGGCAGCCTTATTCTCTCCGGCAACATCTGATCATCGTATAATCGTACCTCGTTAGTGTTATGGTTCGAATACACCGTTTGTTGTTCGATTTTTCTCCTTTCCAATGTTTCTGCCTTTTCTTTTTCTTCACGAAAATATCGGTTATGATATGTGCGAACGTATCTTTCGATAGGTTCATTCTGGATTTCATACGTTTTGCTAATAGATGCAATTGTTCCTTCACATGCATTGTTTTCATCATATATCTTGGTAATTTTTTCGAGATGTTCTTGCTTTTCTCCTCCTGTTTCGCCTGGCATAACTATATCGATCAATTTTACGACATGACCCGGTATTTGACCTGTACTGGTTGGTGAAGGCTTTTTATCAATTATAACATAACGCTTGTTCTGTTTCTGTCTTTCCTGATATTCCTGATCACATGGAGTGTTTAGGATTATTGCAGAATCAGGTGTTTTGATATCTGGTGCTTCATTGTCTATTTCCAAAACGTTATAAGCGGTTGTAGTTGTTGTAATTAGCGTGGTTGTTTCCGTCATTTCCGGGGTGGTTTGTATTCCGTTGCAAAGTAATCCACCTTCAGCAGTTAAGCCACTTACAACTGGCACACCATGCATTATTGTTTTTGATGATATTTTCCGTTCTGTTTTGTCTGAAAAAATTTTATTTTGAAATGATTATATCTGTAGGCAGATTTGTTTTTTTTTAATTTTTAATCTTAAGGATGATTTTTATTCTTTTTCTTTTATGCTCATTCTTTCTGATTTAGTTGACAATTAAGATGAGATGAGATCTCAGCAGGCATTTGCTGAGGAAACGTAGCATAGTATCATCGTTTCTTCCTCAGTGGCAATTCATTTTTTTCAAGAATCGGGAAACCTGTGCTGAATTGGTCTTCCCTGAAGATATCAACATACCACTCAATCTTCCTCTCTCTTTAGATTGATTATTTGAACAGCCAGATAAATTTCGTAGAATTTGAAACTTCAACGAAAAGGCATTTATAAACATTTGTAAAAATTAATAATGATGGAAAATTAATTACGCAAAATGTATATTTTTTTCTGTGCAAAAATATAGTTAAATTCGAATGGTAAATCCGATAGATGTAATGCAGTAATTACAATCCTATTTACAATATACACTTATTATAAGGAATTCGAGATTTCGCTCCTTATTTTCAGTCTAATCTCTTTCGGACTTTTTCATATTTCTACATACCTCTTCGCTCATTTTTCGTTTTCATATATAGTGTTTTTTGTTCTTATATCGTCTTATTTTTAGTTTGACAGTCGATTTTTATCAGTTTTTATTAGTTAATGGTGATTGGCATAATATGCTAAAGAAAATCACAACAAATATACCTGGAATAGGCTCAACTGAGAAATTTGTTTCGCCAATATCGATTGGGATCTGAACGATTCGTACACATTCTGTTGTGGTAACGGTTCTTGATCTATATGGCTGTGTTGTATTATCACCGTCTCGCAGCGGTGGAACTTCAGTTCGTTCACATCTCGTAACCGACCACATAGGATATTGCGTTCTATCTATAATTTCACACTTTATTATTTCTTAAGAGCAAAGGGGTCCACAATAAATTGGTCAATGGCTTTTCCTTTTCTCACTAACATCAGCCTATGTTCTTTAAGCGGATATCAATTATTAATTTTCAATCTTTTATGAAATACTTGTTTCTCTAATTTTCTAATTTTTAAATTCCAAAAATTTTCATTCGTTTTTTCGAAATAAATTCCGAAAATTCTTTTAAATCGGAAACACTCAAGAATTTTTCAAAATCTTTTTAAGCAAATAATTCTTTCACAAATCCATCAAATGAAATGAATTTTCTGAGTCCAAAATTGCGCTCAAAAATCATCAATTAATTTGTGGCGAACCTGCGCGACCTGTTTTTCCACTTTGCTGACCTTTCTTCATCAACCCTCTGAAATAGGACAAAAGTTATATCGGAAGATGTTCGTTTATGAAAAAATAAAAAAATGAAAAAAAACGGTCGACAATAAATCGGAATGGAAAAATTTTTGATCATTATTAATTGCTATCAAACATGAGAAATGAATGTAAAAGATTGCGAAATTTATCACAAAATAAATTTGTCTCATAATAAAGTTATAAATCCTAGGAAACTGGAAATAAAATTTCAAAAAATTTAAGAAATGAAGATTTTACTAACGAAGCGAATTGAAGTTATAGGTTGATTAAAATCACTAAAAATTTCGAAAAATTTAAAATTTCTCATTAATCGAATAATCGATTTATTGCTAAACTTAGCGTAATTGCTTTAGGCAATGTTTGACTGGTAAATAATTTAAATAAAATTTAGTGAAAGGTAATACAGTAAGAAATGTGGATGGACGAAGGACGGTCGAGTGCAAGTTTAATATTTATTGCAATTTAAAGAATACTGACACCACAGAACTATCCTATCCTATCCTAAAATTAAGCAATTAAAATTATCCTTAAGCACCTTAAATATTAATATTTAAAGAATAACCAATCTTTAAAGAAAGATTACCTCAAAGATTAAAACTATCCATTCAAAGTATGTATATAATGTTTGGATTATAAGCGAACAAAATTTCTTCGCTAGTACTTCGAGAGTTTAAAAAAGGCATTTTAATAGTTTAAGGCTGAAGGTCACAAGAAAAACGTTGAAGTTTCGTAAAAAATAAGCCTATAGGTTTTTTAAACGTGTAACAAGCCATTTGATTCCTCATAATTTTTAGTTAGACTCGCTTTGCACTGGCTGGTAGTACGGTTAATAATTTTCGCCAGAAAGTCATTTGGCGAAAAAAATAATATAATGCGCCAATCAGAAAATTTACTTCCATCGGAAAGAGAGGGCGAACTTCTCTTAACTCAGTACGAAAATCTGAACTATTAGCTACTCGATTATTCTATCTCTCTTGACTGCTCACAGGCATCTCTTGATTTATTCAGTTTAATAAAGAAAATGAACAATTTTTCCAATAAGAAAAAAAGTTTTTCTTTTTTCCAAAATTTTTATAAAACAAAAATAAAAAATAATATCTTTATCAAAATAAATATAACAGAATATTTTCACTTGTCCAATGAGGAAAAATTAAAAGAAATTTAGGAAAATAAAATTTAGGTTTGTTGGGAACAAAAATGAATAAGACAGATGGCGAGATTCACGTAATAAATTATCATATTACTTCATTACTTCAGAATCGGATGGCTTATTTAAGGGACAACAACAATTCATCATCTTCATAAAATCAAATTCAAAATTTGCGAAATGACAAAGAAGCTGCTTAAGGATATTGAAAATCATCATCGGAATTCTCAATTTCAATCCACAAGCTCCCTGTGAATTTAGTGCTTCACACGACACATAGTTTTGCTTTATGTTTTGCAATTCTCGATAATCGATTAGCAGTACGTCTATTTGCTTATTCGATGCGATTAACTCCGATGTGTCAATGTTTCATGATGGCGCATCGATAGGCATTCAGGCAATCCTAAGACAAATTCTTAAATTTTAATATTTAATATTTTAATATTTCTTATATCGTTCTGCATATGTCCTTCAATTATCGCACTTAATTATTCCAGAATATAAGACAAATTTAAGAACCTTAATTTAACAATACTGCATAACAGATTATCTCGCATTTTCACACTCAATTTCCACATCTCAAATAGTTAATAAATAGCGAATAAATTAAAAATTATTCATCAACAATTGAAATTGAAATTACATATAGCAGAAATTAATTAGCCATTTTAAAATTCAAATACGATCCAATGAACCCAACAAGATTTGAAAAAAAGTGGCCCGCATAAAGGACTGCATAAAGAAAGTAAAAATTCCTGATAAATGACTGGATCGCAATTATATACTTTTTCATTATTTTTTCGTATTTAACTGAAATAACTTTATGAAAAGATTATCAGTAGAGACAAGACAAAAAGAAATGATCAAAATTATGGAAAATTCTGCATAATTAACATAAAAATTATATTATAAAAAATTAGAAAATTATAATTAAAATTACAAATTATATGAAAATCTAGCAAAAGCATGAATACATTGCAAACTCCAAAGGCAACCGAATTTAATTGAATTTTCCTTCCAAAAAACTCGATGCAAAGTTATAAATATTGAAAAATTAAATATTGTTCAAATGCCAGAACTGGCTAAAGAATCGACTTAGTTAAAGAGCTATTTGTCAGCTATCGGGCAATTATTATGCCATTGAAACCGATCATTACTCTATTATTAATGATTATCACTTTTTTAGCATTGCTTTTAGCATTTTCGCAGTTTTCAAGACTTATTGTTATTAATTTTCTTATAATAACGAGAAATTTTCTGATAAGAAAGAAAAATATACCTAATAATTTTAATTTCAATATAAGTAGAAATAATTTCAAGTTTAATTTAATAATTTTTAATAACTCTAATAATAGCATTCGTTCTGAGATTTCAAAATTGAATTCATTCCGCAGTGCCCTAAAAAGCTTTATCGCTACTTCAATATAAGTAGAAATGAAAGATGAACGCTAGATGGAGAATAACAAGGTTAAAGAATGCATTTAATCTAGTTCACCCACAAGGTAAACAAACTCCTCAGATGGACGCAGGATAGCCGAATGATTTTTTGCTCAGATGGCCAACTCGGCTCGGTGGCTCGGATCTCCGACAAGGATGAATTCATCATTAAAAATATAATGCAGCTAGTGCATTTATACTATCATCAAGTGACTCTATCGGTGAAATTTTTTGTCATACAGCCAGTGAACCCAAAGGGAATTTTCAAGGATAATTAAAGGAAAATTAATGTTTTAAAAATAAAATTATACCACTGAGCAACAAGGATCGATCATTAAAAATAGCAATTTTTCTTTTTTTCTTGTTTCAAAAAAATTGTCTCTTTCAATTTAAAAAGTAAAAAATAAGATAAAATCGGAAGAGTGCAACTATTATAATATCGAACCAGCAAAACTTTAAGATGACAAAGTAAAAAAATTTTAGAATATTTCAAAAAAAGAAGGTAAAAGCTGGCAAAATGGACTTTCAAATGATAAAAGTAATAAAGAATTTTTAAACTAACTTGTAAAAATAGGCTAAAAAAGGACCAAATTAACAAAAACAGCTGAGTGCATTTTGAATGCATTAAAACAATGAAAATCATTTCTAAAAATCAAGCAAAAAAAACTGGTGGAGAAGTGGAAAGAAATTATTTCTTAAGACTACTTCCCAAAATTTTGTATTAAATATTAATTAATGAACTATTAAATATAAAATGAAATAAAATATATTTTTTACATAAAAAATATATAAAAAAGGCATAAAAGGCATTTTTGGAATAAAAAATAAAATTAAATAAAATTAAAAATAAAATTTTGGAATAAAATTATCTTCTTTTACAATAAAAGGTCATAATTTATGATAAAGGTGAAATAATGATTTAAAATCTTACATAAATCGGCGATAAGTTGCCGATCGGCGATATTATTATAATAACTCTTAATTATTAGCTTTTTAGAACTTGTTAGGAATTAGACTTGAGAAGCGAAGGAATAAATTCGAAGTTAGAAATTCCGCGTTGACACCCACCTTTTACATCTTCTTAAAAGTTACATTTTTTTCGAGCTAACAGAAAATTTCTCAGCAGACTTACAACCATCGCTAACCGATTAGAGAAAAATTGTCAAAATTTAACTATAGCAAAGAATGGTTTAATATTAAATGAACCATACAGTGAGCGTCCAATTTCGAAAATTGCTTATTTTTTACAAAATGATTGTTCTAAATTAAAATAAATAAAGTTTGGCATGAAAAATAATTTTATAAAAATTAATTGAACAATTAGGTTTTGAAATCCATCAAATTTAATAAAATTTCGAATTGTTCCAACTAATCAAACTATAACTGATTTATTTGCCATAATTTATAATATTTATTTAGCATCAATTTATAATATTTCTTTTAATATATTTGTAAAGGAACGGTCCTGAAATAACACATTAACGCAGTCTTAATAAGTCCACGCACTTGGAGAAATCATTAAAAATAAATTTCATAAGTTAAATGATTTCAACATAAATTTAGATCTGAATCAAATTATGCTGGCATAATTGATAACAATGAATAAGCAATAGACCCAGAAGAAAACTATTCGAGATTCAAGATTTGAAAAATTCATTCAATCTTTAAAATTTTTATGGGGGCTGACTCGGAACGATCAGTGTTAATGTAGATAAAAAAGAAAAACAATTTTAAGAATGGAGAGTTTTTTTTAAATTTTAGGAAATATTTCTTAGAATAATTAAATATCCGTATTTAAGACATTTCTAGTTCCATTTTTTTAAGTAATCATGTTGATAACTTATGCTGGACTTTTAAAAATCCAAATCGTTCGGTACTTTATAAAATAGCCTGTAGAACTAGAACTTCGAATAGAAAAATTAATTTAATTTGTTAGTAGGTGACACCATTTCGGTTAGGCTGGCTATTTAGATGCGCCACTTTCAATACCAAAAAGTAACTTGGAAATGGATGTACACATGGATCTTCAGCCGAATTTTCAATGACATGTTCAACTTTGTCAAGAGCCGCTGAAACCATGGTGCTTGAGACAATAAACTAAGCAGTACATCACTAATAGCCACTCTGCCTCCCGAAAAATTATCACCGAATAAAAATTTTTTAGAAAGCAGTGATCAATCTTTCAATACGTCAAAATATAATGTTATGAAACTGAATATTTAATGCATTTTAAATAAAACAAAAATCTTCTGCTAACGCAATTTTTAACTATTGAAGTTAAAAATAACTAAAGTAAGGATCTTGGAATATGCACGAAAACTATATGTGGTAAAAAACAATTCAAAAATTCAAAAAAATCTTTGAATCTGGAAAAGAAAACAGTAAAAAAATTAAATATAAG